CCCCAAAACCCCAAAACCCCTTAAAAAATTATCTAGGGCTTATTTTATTTTCGTAAATATACTTTTAAATTTAAACAAAGTCTATTAAATTAATTCTAAATTATGAACGAAAATAAGAACTCTGAGTCAATTGTTGCTCAAGGCAGGAATTATTCTACCTTACCAAAGCAGTTCTCATTGCCAAAGTTGCCTGACTTATCTCCTATGCCAATTTTATACGAGTTAAGCTTGCCATCAACTTCAAGAAACCAAAAGCCAGCAGTGTTTATTAAGAGAAAATCTTCAATGGTACATTTGAAAATGCCCTCCGTAGTGAATATTAAAAAAGATGGTAATTAAAGTTAAATACTGTAGACTTCATTCGATGACACCAAAGACCACATCATCAAAAAGTAGAACAGATTGACAATGAACAAGAAGTATAATGAAATTTGCCTTAACATGTACAATGTTGAGAACGGAGATTTAATTCAAGCCTTTGATCAAATCAGATAGAGGATAAAAGCTTCAAATAAATACTTGTAGAAGAGTGCAAGCCAATTGCTTTATTCAATGTCTGGGAGACAACCTATTGCCTAAACAAATACTTCAACTGTCCTCTCAAATGAAAAAATGATTTAGGATCTTCAGTAAGAAAATATTAAAATTGAAGGATAAGAAACATAAAATATCTTAGCTATAAAGAGTGCTAATGACACAATAAAAAGCAATGTAACATTCGATTTGAATAGCACGACTTAGTATAAATAAGATTAAAAATCTCTAGATGACTAACTAGATAAATTATTCATTACTCAAAATTAGACTCAAGATCCAAACATGACTGCTCAGTCTATTTTCCCAAATAACATGACTTAAACCTAGACAACAATTGAGAAATGCAGATATTGCACTCATTGTTTAATTAAGGACGGCTAGAGTGAGAAATTAACAAGCATTCTCAAACGGTCACTATCAAATGATACAGACTTTATGTTTTTAGAGTCTGAAGATTTAATCTAAAGGATTGAAAGCAGCTCAAGGTTGATGTAGGCTTTCTTCGAGAAGAAGCCTTTGCCTAGAAAGGACTTAATTTTCTTAGACAATTTAATAATGGGCATGATTTCTGATAATGTGCAAGCTGAGAAGATTATAGATTAGGAACTTGTCGATAAGATCAAAAGCAATTGGCTTTATAGAGGACTCTCTTGTACCAAGGAGACCGAGCACACATTAAATGAATTGCAAAATGATGAGCTTGGGGCAGAGTGGATTCAAGGTAAAATTATGAATTGGATGGAAGATGACGAGATAAACAGAAAGATCAATGATTCCTACAAGAAATACTACTTGAAATATCATGGCCATAATCTTAAGAAGAAATAGACTTATCATTACTTCGGGAACAATAATCCTGGAAAATTCGGTACCAAAAGAAGATCACAAAGTCTGAATTAATCTGGAGATGTTGAGAGAAAAGACGTTAATTAGTCAGTGTTGGATGAATACTTCAAGAATAAATTCAAAAGTCTAAAGGAAAAAGTCGAGGATAAAAAGCAAAAGAAAGGAATTGTTGATGATTTTGATCGCAGAGCTGCAATAGCTTTTATGTAAGCTAGACATATTAACTTTATAGTGGAATTCAAGAGGTATTAAAGGAAACTTCAACTTAGTGTAAAGAAAGAGGATTCCTAATGCTTAAACTCGTCAAACAATTTTTACTGATTAATGAAGAGCAATGGATCAAAAGAATTAAAAAGCTTAAGAATTAGATTTAAAGACTTCATAATGACAGAGATTTCCTCTTAGCAAAGGCTACAAAGCCACTTTAGACTCTTGATCTGAAAAAAGTTGTGACAAATGACAAAGTAGATGCAGAAAATCTAGCTGAACACAAAAGAGTCATAAATCAAATGGTTGGACTACTGCATAAGGTAGAGGATGAGAAGTATTTCTAAGATTTTAAGCTTAAATATGCTGAGCAAGATATCAAGGACTGGATGTATGAATGGGATAAGATAAAAATCTACGAAGATTTGAAATTGCAAGTACAAAACATTGATCCTCTACCCATTCTACAAAAGCATCAGAATAAAAATGCTATTGAGCCAATGTCAAAGCATGCTATGCTTTTGTTGGTAAATGCTGAAAGATTCATCTAAGCAATCGGCTATAAAACTAGATGGGAAGTGGAACTTGACAGAATATAAGATCTACTAGTTAAAATGAAGAATGAGCAGTTTGTTCTTTAAAAAGAAACTTAAAGCTTTCGAGATGCTTACAGACATATGGAATTAGTCTCAACTACAAAAGAACAAGAGATTATGAACTTGAACTATATTAACATCAAGCTTTAAAGAGAACTAGCTCTCAAGCAAACTGCAAATAAAGAAGTAATGACTGAAGTAGATATGAAGAATCTTGACTTCATTTCTAAAGCAGAAAATGTCTTTAAGAGTAAGACTGATGACATTAAGGACTTCATTAAATGCCTCCAAAAAGTTAAGTTCAATCAATCTAAATAAGAGGCTATGCCCTTAAAAGAAATAGTTGATTTGGTTCAGCTGGTGTTTACTAAAAAGTAGCAGCAAATGGCAGAGATTAAGTTCGGAGAAGGAATGGAGGTATCATTCGAAGAATTCCTTCATTAGGTAATGGTGTAAAGATTTGGATTTAAAAAGAAGATCAAGCAGAAGACTGAGTAATTCTTGCTTGGAATCAACAAATATGCTAGTAAGCAGCTTTTCCCTTATTATATTACTATTAGAGAATGATGAGAGATTCGATTTGATTGCTAAGATTTTAGTTCTAGATGATTCAGAGGTTAAGTACCCAAAAGAAATTCTCAATACCTTCATCAAAATTTTGAATTGTAATGACTAATAAGTTGTTTACATTAATAGCTACTGATGAAAACTTTAAAAGCCTCCTCTCTGATGATGCTGATTCTATAATGATAGAAACAAAGAAAGCTATTAAGGCAACTTAGGATATTTTCCAAAATGCAAACTAACTTCTCAAAACAAGTCTGAGAAAAGAAATACTATTTGAATCTGAAATAATCATCGATGGTTCTACTAAAATGGATGCAAATCTTTAGCAAAAGGTAAAAAATTCTATAAAGTTAAAACCTGATTAGATTGAAGTGTATGTGCTGCTTTAATTCTGGTAAAAGATAACTCATCAGTTCGCTGAGTCTTTGATCTAGGTACTTTAAGAAAAAGCTGAAAGTCTTGAAAATGGACTGCTTGATGTTACAGTTCTTAAGGATTTGTTCTGGAGTATGACTGATCCAAATGATAGGAACCTGATGTTTGGATATGAAAATAGAGTACCATCATTTGAAGAGGAACTTCAAGATTTTAGAAAGTATTTGACCAAATATTTCTCCAAAGAACTTCAGAAAGTTTTTGAGAAAGAATATCTACCAACTAAAAGACTGAAGCAATTTCTCAGACACAAATATGAGATTAAGGTATAAATTAGAGACCCATTTATCAATCTAGGTGTGTGTGAGAAATTTCTTGAAAAAAGGCTTAAACTTCTCACTACAAATGCTTGACTATTGCAGGTTCTTTTTAAAGAGAATATATCACACATTTGATATCAATCAAAATGGAAATATGGACTTGTAGGAATTCGAAGTTTTAATTTCTAAAGTCATGCCTGATAAACCAAAATGGCAGATAAATGCAATGTTCTAGTAATTCAATATTTTTACAAATTTTACTCTTTAGAGCAATTACAAATTCTATTGATTATGAGAGAAAGGAAATCAACTTTGAGTAATTTGTCAACTGTGCAATGAGTCATCCCTTAATGAGAGGTATCTTGGAGGCAACTGATATCGATGCAGAGATACAGAAAAAGAGACTAGGGCATCTTAAGAAATGATCGGCTTGGTAATGGCTGCTCATTAATGATCAAGATTATTATTCACTCTTTCGTTAATTTCATAACTAAAGTATACGATTCTAGGGGTTTTGGGGTTTTGGGGTTTTGGGG